GGGGGTGTGGGTGGAATCTGTGGCCAATACTTGTTGGGTACATTTCCACAAGCTAGAGAACTACCATTGGTTCTGACATTAGTAGAATGGATGTACATTTTATCTTACCTGCAAGTTTGTCCTTTGGTGATGCTAAAGGTACATTGTTAGGGAAATAATTCCTCTCTTCAACCTGTGAGGTGTGTGAACCGTTTGCACGCTTGTAAATTTTTATTCGATATGCTTGATATGGTATTGAATTAGGCAGCATTCCTTATCCTCCTGTTTATGCCTCCCTTCTGTAATTCATTATTTTAGAACACGTTATACAGAGACATCCTCTACACTCATCGTCCAATACGCATAGCTTAATTCGTTGTGGACTGGGAGATAAGGAACGCAGCAGCCGATTTGGCAGAAGCAGAGGCCTTCCTGTGGTGTGACTGGTATGGCTGCTTGAGAAATAGATCGGCTCCTCGTTCCAGTTCCCGTGATACGAATGTTGGGCTTAGTGTGTGGATGCTGCAGGACGGGGACAAGTAACTACCGGTTGCTGGGGCTTATTGTTACATGAACAAAAACTGCACTGAGCACTGAAATCTAAGGAAAATTTTTTGTCTGCAGAAGTGTTCAATTATCTGTACTCTTTTATGACTTTGTTTTATTTTTACTGAAACTTGTTCAGGCAGAGGCTACTTCTTTATGCAGTACACTACACGTTGGAGTCAGCCATAAAAGTTGAAGATACTCCTTTAATGGATTAACCTTGGTCATCTGGAGAAGAGTGCTTGTTTTACACATCTGGGACTAAAATATTTGGTCCACCTAAAGTGGGGAACAGTATTGTTACTTTAAAACAAAGCAGTTTGCTTCAAAACTAGTAGGAAATGTAATGAAGTTCCAGACTTCCTGTCTCGTATGGGTTGTCCAGCAGCTGAGACAAAATGAAGTCTGGGGAATGCAAGTGATGATTTAGTTGCAAGTATTAATACCTTATGTATTACTTGGCATGTGATGAAACACCAGGAAGACTTCTGTGGGCAAAGCTTATATAGCGGCAACAGCCTGTCTAACATTCATTAAATAACATCTGTTGAGGAAAATATGAATGTTGTTAAAATTACTCTGAAAATTTACCCCCTCAGGAGAAAGCAACCATCCGAGATGTTTCATGCAATTTGGTCACCTGTCGCTAGATCGTCCTTTAAGTAAGCTTTAGAGTCTTGTGTCTATAAATGGCACACTTTGTGAGAAGGCTGGGAGCGAAGGTAGGTTTATTACTGATGTGGGATGGAATGAAGTGCTTTCTGTTTTCCATTAAAAATGAGATCAGTGAAAATTGTAGCTTTTCCTAGAATACAAAGATCATTAAAGCTCTGTCTCGGTTATATGTAATGACTTTCTTAGGAATGAGTAGATATGCCCCAGGTACCAGAATATTAGCTGTTCTTCAAATGCATAAATTGACATAATTTATCATAGGAACAAAATAAGAAGCTATAAACTCCAAGGTAAGCAACTACTAGCAGCCATCAACTGCATAACCTCAGCTGTTCTTGTTCAGTTTGCCTGGGATCAAGCGTGTGCAGTGACGCTCAGCGCGCACGGCTGCCTTCTCCCTGCGGAGGAACGAGTCTTGGCGCTCTGTGTCAAGGCTCAGTTTGCGTTAGTTAGAAGTGCTGGCTTCCGCACTGTCGGCTTGTCTACCTCAGCCTTTTGTTGGGTGGCACCCTCTCATGCCTTGGCGTGCTTAGTCTGCTCTCTCAGTTTGGAGAACTTGGATATTTATTTGCAGATCCTTAAATGGGTAGTTTGGTCTTGAGCAGTCTAACGTCTGAAAGCAGGAACACCTTCTTTGCAGCACTGTTGCCCTTCCAATGAAACCGTGTACCTTTATATATGTGCACACAGTTTTATATCGAGAGATATATATATATAAACATTGTGTACTAATGCAACATCCACTTTTTTTTTTTAGCTAGGTTCTCTGCACGGGAAAAGAAGCCAGCACGGCATTATTTAAAGGCATTTGAGGGGTGCAGTTTGTAAATCTTTTTTTCTCGCGGAAACTTCCACCAGAGCAGTGATGTTTAAAATACTTTGGCAAGGACTGAGAAGGCATTTTGACATGCAGTTGTTATCTTCTGATACAGTTCCAGAAAAAAATTGCCACTTGCCCCAGGGTCAGTAGCTGTGGCAGAGATAAATTGCCTAGGTGGTGTGTTCAATCTTTTTTGAGGCTTTTCTCATCACTAGAGAAATATGAGGGTTTTTTAAACTAGTTTCTGTTGAGTTTTGCGTAACAAATAAGATCATCTGAACTGTGTCTTTTTCTAACAGAAGGTAGCCTGTGTGGCCTGGGGTGGCTTTGCTTCCTCCGTGTCTGCAGTCAGAGTCCAAGCAAAACACAGGGAATTGCACTGCCAGAAGGCAGCCTCCCAGGCTGAGGCCCCGCTTTCCAGCATCCGTGTGGAGCGGGAAGGGTTGTTCCAATCTGACGGTGCAGGGAACCCTTGTATAACCTTCCTGATAACACGTTTTGCTTGTGTGAGAAGAGATAGCCTTTGTTGCTGCATTTCTTAATTGGCAGGCTGCTCCACAGCCCTGGCAGCCAAATGGTAATGAGCCCGTTTAGGCGCGCACACAGTTCTTGCGTTAAACATTCTTTAAGCTGAGGAGCTCCCTTCCCTTTCCCCTATATCTTACAGTGGCCGTACGTTCTTCCTGCCTCTCTTGTCAGCGTAAGCCAAACCTCAGTAGGACAGGTGGAAACGTCTGTAGCCACTCTGCATCTTGTGCAATTTGAAATTTTTTTAGCATAGATGTGCAAAACTACGGCTTAAAGTGAAGCGTGAGCTGCATCTTGATCTGAATGTTGTCCTGTTCCTGTCACTGTGATTGTCATGTCACCACATCCTCCTCATACGATACTCTCATCTATCTGTTCTCCGTGCCTTCCAACACTGTTCTCAGCCAACTGT